TTGCCCTTAGACTCAGCGGTTCCACCTCTAGCACTCACCCTATGTGTGAACAGAATCATGTGCTCAAGGAAGAACTGCAAAGTTATCCGTGGCAACATTGTTTAAAAGCAAAATATTGCAAGCAACTTCAATATCCCTCCATAGAGAATTGTTTGGGCACATATTGGATAGTAAACATTATTTTAAAAAAAAAAAAAAAAGAATGAAGAAATGCTTCATGAATCATGTTGAAAGATGTCTACAATACCCTGTTAACTGTCAACAGCAAGACCGGGAACTCTGTATTGTGTATTATCAACCTAGTAGAAAGAGTTGGGTGGGGGAGAATGTATTTTCATTGACTGGCTGGTTTGGTGCTAAAAAAAAGTCTCTGAAACATTCCCAACAAATCGACAACAGTGGCTACCTCCCTGCTGAGGGGTGAGGATAAGAACCGAGCGGGTGAGATGGAACACTTTTTAACCACGTAACGTTTTATATTTGTTATTTTTTTGAACCCCTACAATGCATTATTTATTTGAAAAGCTAAATAAATAAAACCTTCCCCTCTTGTGAAGGGGATATAGGCAATGTCCCTCTCTCTCTCCCCCGCTCTTGTCCCCAGAGCAGCTTGGCTCCTGCTGCACTGAGGAATGAGCACGTGAGGTTGTCTTGGTTGCACAGAGCCTGCTGTCCACACGGCTGAGTCCCTGAGGGTCACAGGACTTGCTCAGACCTGTCCAGTGAGGTCAAGGGTAATCCTAGAGCCGGAAACCCAGCTCTGCAGCAGAAACCCCACTCCTGAGGTAAGGAGGCAGGTGCCCAGGGGTGAAGGCCTTTCTGTGGGCGTCCACCATGTCTGCATTCCCGAGGGGCTGAGAGAGAGTCCAGGGCCAGCTGGCCAGGATGACCAGGCTTTGAGGAACTTTGTGAACTCCCCTCTGCCTTCTCTACCCCTGATCACCCTCCAGACCTGGTGAGTTCAGGCAGGATTACCCAACCAAGGAGGGGCAGAGAGCTGGCAAGGAAAGTGGCCGGAAATGGCTGCCCCGAGGGCCTGGCTCATGACTGGCCTATGACAGAAGCAAGGCTGAAGCTGGACACAAGAGTCCATTTTTTAACCCCCTGGGGGACACTCCACACTGCTCATTTATTTCTTCATGGGGACTTCTATCCCCCTCCCCAGGGGCTGGAGGGCAGGGCATAGCACCCACGCTGTGTGTTGGCAGTAATGACCGGCATGTGCATGGCTGCCAGGGCCGATGGGCCACCCTGGGCCTGGGCAGGGAAGGACTTGTCAGAATGCTCTCTGCCTCCTCTGTGATCACTGAGCACCTACTGTGACCCAAGTCCCTCCTGGGGTGCCCCTGGGCATCCCAAAGCTCCACGGTTCCTCCTGTCAGGCCCCTCCACACATCGCTGCCCATGATCACAACCCTCGCCCACCCGCCTCTAAGTGCTTTTCGCAGCTAAATTGTATTCACAAGAACGCGGCCTCCTGGGAGCCACAGATCTCTGTCGTGCCTTCTCGTGTTCTCAGAGCCTCCAGCACAGCCTGGAACACACAGCAAGTCTTGCGATAAATGCTTGCTGGTGGCCTGCCAGTACCCAAGCTAAAAGTGGAGCTGCATTAACAGAGGTCAAGGCTTAGCTGCGGCTGTGCCCTCCAACTGTCACACTCAACCTAAAAGCTAGTGTGCAAGGTCAGCGTCAAGGCCCTAGGAGCTGGACTCCACCCTGACCCACCTCTACCCTCCTGGCTACTGACCCCCTTACTCACTCCACTCCAGGGACAGTTCCCACCTTCCTACCCTCCAAGAGGAAGGGCCTCGGTCCCACCTCAGATCCGTAGTACTGATGGGCAAACCCCCCACACCCCTGAAACCTTCTTGCCCTAGCACTCCAGGGGCTCACCTTCTTGCCTCTTTGCTGGGCCTCTGCTCAAAGACCACCTTCTCCACAAATCCATCCTCCCTGCCCTATTACAAATCACTCCCCAACCTCCCATGCTCCCACACCTTTTCCCTGCTTTATTCTTCTCCACCCTTATCACTACTTTTAAAATTCTATAGTTTTCCTGTTTGTTTTATAATTGTATCCTCCAACAACAGGTTTTCCAACGACAGAGATTTTTGTGTTGTGCTCAATGCTGTACAGTAAGCATAGAACAGTGCCTGGCACATCATAGGTGGTTAATAATTATTTACTGAGTGCACCAATAAATGTACAGACTAATCAATTTAGCTGTAGCTCTTGCTCCAAGTTAATTCAACTAAAATGGCATAGATTAGACATCATTTATGCATGTGAATGAAAATCACTTCCATATATTTCTCTGTGGTCTCATAGAGAGAATTTCATTTTATTTTAATCTCATAGATCACCTTAGTGGGTAAATGGGGCAGGAACTGTAAATATCCTCATTTCACAGAGGTGAAAAGTAAAGACTCAAGAGAGGCGAGATTTTCCCAGAACCTTCAGCTAGTTCCTAGCAGAACTGGGGCACTGGGATTTTTTGTCACTGATTCTGACTTCATTTATGTAGGGATAGTAAGGTGTGATACCTTTCCTCACTCATAAGGGATGCACTGACATTCCTATCACAAAAGACAATTTAACAAACAAAAGCATAACCGATGTAGTTAACCAAAGTTTTACCTAACATGAAAGACTCCAGAAATGAAGATCAAAACACTCAAGAAAAAAAAGTCTTATGTTTACTCTTGTTGACCTAGCGTAAAATTAATCTAACTGAGAGCAAAGAAAATTAGGACTGCAATGAGGGAGAAACAGATTCAAGCAGTCTTGAAAAGGTGCTTCAGGGCTGGGGATGTGCCTCACGCATATAGGCACTGGGTTCCAACCTCAGCACCACATAAAAATAAATAAACACAATAAAGATATTGCATAATTTAAAAATATATTTTAAAAAAAGAAAAGTTTCTTCAAAGTTATACAAAATGGCAGCCATGTTTATGGCTTTAAATAAAAGAGGATGGATAATTACATCATTTGTTAGTCAGGAGTTTTGACTGGTTGGGTTGGATTGGCTGGCAAGGGTTAAGCTCTCTGATAAGAAGGGATTGGGTGTTAGGTAGTTTGGAGAAAGGGGTTCATTATATAGAAGGTCAGCAGGGATTAACTGTTTCAAAGGTCAACTGGAATCTGGGGTGAGTGTGTCTGCAACCCCACTCAAAGGTTCAACCTGGATCCCATCTAAGATCTGACTAACAGTGACCGCAGGACTCCATTTTATGTGCTGTAAACTAATGCTACTCCACTTTGATATTTTTGCTTGACAATTTCAATGAAAAGTGGACAGTGCAGTAGACACATTATTGGACAAAAGGTATGACCTCAGGGAATGGACTGGGCGGGTGAGCAGCAAGGCCTGTCTGCTCCAATTCTTCTTGGCCACTCTAGATAGTGGTCCTTCCTAGTAGGAATGTGACTGAGCCATTCTGGAATGAAGTCCTGTGATCTATCAGAAAAGGTGGATGGAAGAACTTCTTCATGGCCAGCTCTGACACAAAAAGGCAGAGGGAAGACGATAGTAATATCTCTAGGTTTTGATGGCTGCTTTGGGGAAAAACAGGTTGGAGTTTCTACCACCTGCCTGTGGAGCAGAGGGGAGCAGAAGACAGACAGCCAGGAGAACAGACAGCCTGCCCCAAAACAGCCTCAGAGTTCAAGTACTCAGCATGCCATGTGCCCTACTTCCCTGGATGTCTTCCTGAACCCCAAACCTTAGTGTAGGGCTTTGGGTTGTTTGTGGGCTCTTCTTCCTCTTCGATTCTAGGGACTCTTCCTGAAACTTCCTACTTTGCTACAAGAAGAAACACCTGTAATTTTCCCTTTCCTGACTCCTAGATGGCCATCCATCTTCCCCAAGCCCTAAACTGGCCCGGCCACTGCAATTCCCTTTTGGCAGAAGTCTGTGCTCTAATGTTTGGACTGTGTCCCCAGGTTCCTCCACATGGCAAGGAGCAGAAACAGGTCTGGATGCCCGGAAGTCCTGGGGATTTGTCGCCACAATTGAGGTGTAACGGATTAAGGGAGTGAAGGGAAGGATTGGGGGCACCTCCGCTTCCCTGCCTAGTTCTCCACTCAGAATCCGCCTCCCCACCCTCTCAGGAGCAAAGGGTCCCTCCTCTGTAGCCTTGTAATTTTCTGTTCCTCTCTGAATCATAACACACCGATCTGTTCCATTGGGCTGGTGGCTGGGGGCCCTCCTTACCCTGTTTCCGCACCTTTGGTAACTCAACCCTTTTCTTTTTAGGTCCCACCAGCCTACTTCTAAAAGGGGATCGTAGTTCAAGGGCGGGTAGATTTAGGAAGGTGCCCCGCTTGTGCATTCTCCCCACACACGGAGTTGCAAAGCCCCGAAGAGGAACAATTCCAGGCGGGATTTGTAGCTTGGGTGGGCGCGGTGGGGGCTGGGGATGGTGGTCTGCAACGCGCACACACCACCAGGCGGGGATCGTCCACCCGCCACACGCGGTCCCCGCGGCGATTACAGGCGTCGCCTGCTTCCCTCTGATTGGCCGAAATAGCTAGCCCTCGCAAGAGATGGGGAGAAGAGGGGGCGACCGCGACTCGCGGCACGGCGTCCCGTGGACAGGCGCCGAGACCCGGGGTGGGGGGGTGCGGGGGTTGATTGCGCTGCGCCGCGAGCGGGCTCTGCGGGGCGGCGGGCTGCGCGGCGCTGAGCGCTCCCTTCCTCCAGGGGCCGCCGAGGGGCCGCGCCGAGCGCATGGAATTTTCCACCGCCCAGCCAGCCTGCAGAGTCGCGGCTCATTGGCGGAGCGGGGGCGCCTGTCCCCGCGTGGGTGCGGAGATGAGATTAGCCAGGGAGCCCTCCTCAGTGGGCTTTGCAAGGTTCTGATTAATCAGGTCAGCGGGGCCAGGGAGGGGAGGGGAGGGACGGTGGGAACCGAGCTTGTTTTCTAACCCAGCCCTGCAAAGCCTCTCAGGCCGCCTGGCTACAAAGAAAACGCACCAGGAGGCAGGGAGAGGTAGGGGCAGACCTTAGAAATCACCTCTTCGCGGTAGAATTCCCCTAGAAACCGCTGAAAAATAAGCTTTCCATTGCTAAAGCCCTCCCCTCCCCCATCTCCGCTTAATCTCCCCCACTCCCCAAATAGGCTGGGGCTGGCCGCAGATCCACACTCTCCCCGGCCTTGACATCTTGATGTTTAACCCCTTAAGTACCCACACTGCCGGCAACACATTCCCTTTCTGCTGTGACAGTCACAGACTCTCAGCCAAACCAGACCTTCAGAATCAAATGGAACCCCGACCCCTGGTCCATCAAGAAATGCAGCCTGTGAAAGACAGTTGGAACGAGCCAGCCAGAGTGATCTTTTTGTCCGTGGCTGAATCTGTGTGAAATCTCCACAAGGACATTAAAAATGTGTGGCAAGTCAGGAACAGTGTTCACCAGCAGGCTCGAATCGTGTTGGCTTGATGGGGTGTATGCATGCTCCAGTCCTGTTGGCTTGATGGGGTGTATGCATGTGCCAGTCCTGTTGATTTGCGATCGAAAACAGCCCCTGGTTTTATTTCTCCTGGGGTTTCTGGCCTTAGGAAGCTCTTTTCTGAAGTTATTGTTAAATTCTCCCCAAGGGCTGGCTCTGGCCCTCAAGACTTGCTTGGAGAGAGAATGAGTGCTGTTCCCCAGGTCAGGGTTTCAGAATGGCTGCAGGATGCGGCTGGCTCCCAGGACTGCTGTCCCTTGCCAATTTGGGCACCTCATAATTCAAGTCTTTTGCTTTTAAAATGAGGCTAAAAGTTTCCTCATGAAGTTAAGTGGAGATTAATTCTATGGCCTAGAAATTCTACTCCGAGGTATGTACCCACAAGAACTGAAAACAGATACCTAGTATGGGTAGATCCTAGTATTACTAAGGTTCAAGACAACACTATCCACAGTAGCCCAAGGCAGGAAGTAACCTGATTGTCCATCCAGAGATGAGTGGATAACAAAATGGGGGATGTCTATACAATGGGATATGGCTCACCCCGCCCCCCCCCAAAAAAAAGAAAAAAATGAAGGGAATTCTGAGCTGGGGAACTCAGTGGTAGAGAAACACTAGCCCAGCATATGCCAGGCCCTGGATTCAACCTCCAACACCACCCAAAAATAGGGAAATTCTGATATGGATGAACCTCAGAGACAGACTGAGTGGAAAAGCCAGACACAAAAGGCCCTACGTTGTATGGATCCCTTTGTGGGATACATCCAGATAGGCAAAGCCCCAGAGACAGAGCCATAGCTGGTGATTTCAAGGAACTGGGGGAGGGAGGAGGAGGAATTAGTGCTGGATATGCACAGGGCTTCCTTCTGGGGTGATTTGGCACTAGAGAGAGGCTATGGTTACACACCTTTATGAATGAACTGTCATTGGATCGTACACTTTAAAATGGTTAATCTTATGCAATGTGAAATTTGCCTCAATAAAACAAAATTAATGAAACTAATAATAAAAATCTCCAGAGATTCAATGTGATTATCCAAATAGAGATGTTTGATCAAGTGAAAAAGCCTATCTTTTGAGTCCCTTTATGTTATTTCCTAGAATGAATGATTACCTCTCTTCAAATTTTTCAGTTAAAACTCAGGCAACTGGAGGCCCATGCAGCTCTGGCTGTAGCATCAACCAGCGATGGAACATTATACAGTCCTGAGAGTCCTGTGATCTGTGAGGAGGGGAGACTCTGCACTGTTGATCTGACACCCTGCACCAGAGTGCCCCACGGTAATCTGTCCTTCAGGCAGAAGGGTGGTACCATGGAGACCACTGGAAACTCTGGATGGCAGGATTAGTGTGGAATAACTTCAATACAGGCTCTCCAAAGGAAAGAACCACTCAGCGCATACCAGGGTGGACTGCCCCAGCCGGAGCCAGGCTGCAGAGGCCAGAGTTTATTTCGGCTTCTACATGGGGGATCTTGGGCCAAGGCTCTTGCCAAGAGTCAGGGGGTTGTTTATTTGTTTGTTTGGTTTTGCTTTTTGTGTTTTGTTTTTGTACTGGGGATTGAACCCAGGAGCACTTGACCACTGAGCCACATCTCCAGCCCTTTTTTATATTTTTAGATAGGCTCTTGCTGAGTTGCTTAGGACCTTGATAAGTTGCTGAGGCTGGCTTTGAATTCGCCATCCTCCTGCCTCAGCCTCCCAAGTCGCTAGATTACAGGCATGCACCCTTGTGTCCTGAAAGAGTCAGTTTCCTTCTCTAACAAATGTGATGTATTGAAGTACCTACTGCATAGGATTGCTATCAGGATTGAGCTAACTCGTGCATGTGCCAGAAACAGAGTATGTGCTCAACAAACACTAGTTGGTGTTACTAAGGAAGACGTAAACAATGGAAAGAAATGGAGTGGTTTGTGCTTTGTTGGGGAGGGGGATGTGAGAGGATGAAAGCAGCGTTCACTGAGGGCATTTAAAGCAAAGCAGGATGGCTCTGAAGTTGTTTAAAGTACTGTGGAGAACTACAGGGTGGGATGGGCTAGGGGACTCTGGGTGAGAGGAGAACGACAAGAAAAAAGGAAAGAAGATCAAAAAGAATATTCTGAAAAATGCAAAGAGGAGCTGCCAGATATTGGAAGTGGCTCAGAAGCGGGAATGACATGAAAATTCAGGATTCCCCATTAGACTGTGGGAAAGCCTTCTTTTGTTGTATCAGTGAAAAGGGGCTCTGAAATTTGGTGCCTTGCAACAGGGCACTTGGAAAATCCAGCTAAGTAGAATTGACAGCGCTGAACAGGCTTCCTCAGAGGGCCTACTAATGAACTAAGCTCAATAGAGACCTCTGGGCAGGTGTCCCCATGGGCTTGCTTAGTTCCCACCTGAGTTGAAAGTCCCATCAAGGGACTGAACCTTTCTGCAAAAATCAGCCTGATGCTGGCAGCCTGCAGCAGCAGAAGGGAGGGAGGGAAGAATCCTCAATGGGAACTAGGACCTTCTGTGGTCTCCAGGTGAAAACCATGCTCACCCTTTGTGATGTTGACCTGCATCATCCTTATCCCACCACTTCTCTGTAACAAGAGCCCCTCCCCTCCTCAGTACCCTCTGCTGGTTTGTGATGTGCTCATGTGAGAACCAAGGGGCATCCCAAATGGAGGGATGTGATGCAGTTCCCTGTGTGGGCAGCCTGTGTCCCCAGAGTCAGTTGTCTAGGAGAGGAAGGGACGTGTGGGCTTTCCTGGCCAACTCAGGCTGTCCTCAGTCTTGCACATGCACATGCAGCCATTCCTCAGTGTCCTTAGGGGATGGACTCGGGGACCCGCTCCTGCACCAAAATCCCCAGATGTTCAGGTTTCTTGTATTAAAATGGCATGATAATTACGCATAACCTATGAATATAGTTATGCATAACCTATGAACAGCCCCCGCACATGCTTTAAATCATCACTTGATTACTCATAATACCTATTACAGTAGAAATGCTGTGTAATAGTTGTTTACCATATTGTTTGGGGAATAATGACAAGAAAAAAATCTGTACATGTTCAGTAGAGACACATTTTTCTTTTCCTGATCTACAGTTGATTAAATCCAAAAGATGGGAAACTCAAATATGGAAGGCCAACTGCATATGGAGCTGGTATCTGATGAAAGATTGAATGTAAAAAAAAAAAAAGAAGTATCTTCTACTTGAAACCACAGTTCTACATGATTATTTTATGTGTGTGGTACATTCCTGTCCCTCCACACTCCCTCTCCACTCCTCCAAGGCCAACACAGGTAAATCCTTCACCTTGGGTGGCAGGAAACTCAGAGTAAACTGTGCTAAATCAATTGTATTGTATGCTTAGAGTTAGAACTGATTTCAGGTGAATCCTTGTACTTTAATACAAGTAATACATGTTTATGGTAGGTTTTCTGTTGGGTTTTGGGTTTTGGGGGAGGGAGGTTGTTTGGTTTTGGTACTGAGGGTTGAACCCAGGGTCTTAAGCATGCTAAGCACACACTTTACCACTGAGCTACATTCTCAGCCCTGAAATTGTTCAGAATATAATTAGGAAGAAATTAGAAAAAATTTAAGCCACCCAATCTAGGTATTCAGGAATTGATACTATTAAAATTTTAAATTTCAATTTACATGGCTTTCACACACACACACACACACACACACACACACACACACACACACGAGAAATGGGGGAAGGCAGTTAAGACCAGTGGGCCCACCTGCAGGTTGAGAGAGCCTGGGAGGTGGATGCTGAATGTCTGGATGTAGAAAATGAGAAGAAATCATGACTCCTTTCCCAGCCAGTGCTCCCCAGCCTGGTCCAGAACAGCCGGCCCCACAGAAGATGGTGCATCCTCCTGGTTCTTGGTGGGAAGAGGCAGTCCCCTGCTGTAGGATTGTGGTGTGAGCAAAGCAGGCCTTTGCAGCATGGAAAGCACCTCGTGGGTCCAAGGTGGGCTCGGTGGACGGATGGCATCCATTCTTAGGGCACCAGCTGCAGCAGCAGTGGCTGGGACTGTCCTCAGGGACCACTGCAGGTGGTGGAAACCATAAACCAATGGGTCCATGTTCCCAACAGGAAACCTACAGCTGCTCAGAGACAGCTGGGAAGACTGGGGAGGAAGGTGCTGCTGTCACATAAATGGGGACAGGACTACCAGCCAGGACAATTTGGTAATTACTATGAATGTGACTCCATATTTTGCAAAGTCTGGGAAGTTAATATTTATACGTGTTTTAAAATATTAAAATGGATCATACCCCAGTTTGGTTAAGTAAGTTATTTGCTTTAACATGATCACATAAACTTTTTTTCTGTAGCTAGATGATCGTAATGGTTTTCAAACTATGTTCTATAGTGTCACCCAGTTCTTGAGGCCCGAAAGGTGGTTTCTGTGCTTTCCCAGGGGAAAGAGTTAATTTTGCAAGGTAGAAAGAGAAAGAATCTGTGTTCTCACCATCTAGTATACCCAGAATAGCTCTACTTTCAACAGTACCGTCTACTGGGATTCCATGAAAGACTGAATAGAAAAGGGATGTGTCCTCTATGAAAAGTAGTTGAAACCACAGTTCTACATGATTATTAAATGTTGTATAGTGTTTCATTATGTGGATAAAGGATAATTTATTAATCAAGCCCCTACTTTTGGACATTCGGTTTATATATAAGTTAGGAGTTATGTTCAGCTGCAAATATCAAACTCATGAAAGACAATATCTTAGATACAGGAGGGTTTTATTTTTCTCATGTAAAGAAATATCTGGAAGGAAGTAGTGCTGGCACTGGTTGTGGTCATCCTAACACCCCAGGGAGTTCCAGGCAGAGGCTTAAGTCAGAAGGGAGCTGAACAGATTCACCCCACAAAGCATTTTCCTGGAGTATCCCCTTGACTTCTGCTTACATCTCATCGGCCACCCACCCCTACCTGCAAAGAATCCATGTTAGCAGAACACGTTGCCTCTTTTCTACAAAAATGGGGTTCGATTAGTAGAAAAGAAGAGAATATTAGAAAAAAACAACTAAGCTATTGTCATGAGAATCCTTTCCGCCATATCCTTGAAGTTCCCTCACAACCGAAATTTTTCCATACGATGAAATCATTGAAAAGCAAATTGTTCCTTTACAGAGCCGTGAATTGTTCTAAGACTTCTCAAATAAGTTGCCCTTTAGAAATGTACTAATTTACATTCTCGCAAGCAGTGTCTAATGAAAAAGAACCTATTTAACAGAAATATTGATATAATGTCTCTTTATTTTTAAGCTTTGCTAATTTAACAAGCAAATTTTTCATTTTTTCTTAACTGTTTAAAAAAATATTTGTAAGATATGCAAGTTCATATCAGCATGGTGTGTATGCCCTAGAGCAGGGCTTTTAAAATTGCAATGTGTACACAAATAACCTGGGATCTCATTTAAATGCAGATTCTGATGAGACAGGTGAGGGATGCAGCTGAGAATCTGCATTTCATAAGCCCCTGGATGTCACCAAGTACTGCTGTGTCACATTATGAGTGGCATGGTCCTAGGGATCCCATCAGTGCAATTGTAGCTTTTGTAAATCCCTGGATAAGTTTATGCCGAAGCCTAGAAGATGAGAGGAGGAGGGGGCAAGCAGGAGGAAGAATCCAGAACAAGGCGATATACTGTGAGGACCTCATCGTGTCTGTGGAACACCCCAGTGAGTTGGGGCCCAAGCACTCTGCTGCAGTTTGAATGTGTTCTCCAAAGTTCACATGTTGGAAAGTTGCTCCCCAATGCATCTGTGTTGAGAGTTGAGACCTTCAAGAGATGATGAGGTCATTTAGGGCTCTGTCCTCATGAACAGATGGTCATTATCTAGGGAGTAGGTTGTTATAACAGCCCCTCTTGCTCTCTCTTGTGTGTGCTTTCTTGCTCTTCTGCCTTCTGCCATGGGATTGTTACCGGGTTAAGTCAGGGCTGCTTGCCTCTTGAGGGCTAATATCGGAGACTAGAATTGATGCAAAGGGATCAGATTTGTTCAGGGACTGGCCCTAAAGAAGATGGAGGGCCTCTCATCCCCAAAGGTCCATCTTGGGGAGGTGTCATAGGGAAGGAAAAGTACAGTGAGATATAGGTAGGAAGACTGTAGGTTGAGTGGGGTCTTCATCATCCAGGGCTTTCTGTCTGTCTGTCTCTCTCTCTCTCTCTCTCTCTGTCTTTCTCTGTCTCCCCCCCATCTCTCTCTCCTTTCTCCCTCTTTTTCTTCCCTCTAGCCAGATCCTTGTAATCCACTTCAACCTTCTGGGGCTAGTTCTTGTACTTTTTTAAAAACAGACATATTCTCCTGCAAGTTAAACCACACAGCAGTTTACGCGCTTGGTGTTGGTTGATACAGAACTAAAGACTAAAATGTATTACAAAGATTACCAGATGTTTTGGGTTCCATAGATCAGAAGAAAGATTATTTAGCAGTTAACATCTTTACCATTTAGGTGGGGCTTCTCTTTGGAATTTAGGGTGCTAGACAAAAGGGAGGGGATGGAAAGCTTGCAGAAGGGCCAAGGGAGTGGCGGTGGCAATAACTCTGCCAAGGACAACTCCCAGAGGAGCAGCTGCTGCTATAGGGCGACACAAGAAGACTTTACCAGATACAGGGCCTCAGTCTTGGAGTTCCCAGTCTCCAGAACAGTGAGAAATAAATCTCCAGCTGGAGCTGGAACTCAGTGGTAGAGCGCTTGCCCAGCATGTGTGAGGCACTGGGTTCGATTCTCAGCACCCCATATAAATAAAATAAAGGCTTATCAACAACTAAAAAATATTTTTAAAAAAGAAAAAGAAAGAAAAAAAAATCTCTATTCCTGATTAATTCCGCAGTCTTGAGTATTCTGTTGTAGTAACACAAAATGACCGAGACACCTTACCCAGGCTTCCCACTCCCTTCCTGAGATTCCTGGCCCTATGACTCAGGTAGAGCAGTGAAGGATAGGAGGGGCACTGGAGAGATTGCCTCTGTTTATGCTCCTGACCTTGAAATGTGAAGATATAAGGAAAAATCATGAAAAGGACATTGAAAGAGCTTTTCAAAAAGGAGTAGAGAGGCGATTAGGGAAACCCTTAGGACTTGGACAACTCAAGCCACTGCCCAGAAATGTGAGCTTCGGTTACCTTCAACCTTGACCTAGAACAGATTGTGGCCCCAGAGTCGACATGCACTCAAGAGGCTGCTGCACTTTGATTTTGTGCACATTTTTACCAAGTACATGCATTCTTTTCTTAATCTTCTATCAATCACACTGTACCTGTCACCACAGCCCTTGTTCTCAACTCCAAATGACATTTCACCACAAAAGAATTTTTACTGCTAAGTAATAAAACAACACTATTTGCTCCCATAAGTTCTCACCTCCCCCACCTTCGAAACACTGATTTGAAACTGTTTACGTCTGTGTTTTCTGAATTGCAATTTCTAAAACCCCAATAAAGTCCTTTTTATTGTTACAATAAAAGGTTGTTCGGATGGATCAACAGAAGTCTACTTGGTTGTATTGTAAAAGAGCCTCACCAGTTTCCTGTGCTTCTGGTTTGCAGAGGACATCTTTTTCATCCATTACTTTCAACTTTTTAAGGCATCTCTTGCAAGCTTCCTTGTCATAATTGGACTGACCAGGGGTGTATTAGTCAGGGTTCTCTAGAGCAGCAGAATCAATAGGAAGTATAATTATAAAAAGGGGATTTTTCAGGTTGGCTTATGTAACCAGAAGCTGGATAGTCCACAATGGCCGTCTGCAGGCTGAAGAACTGGAAGAACCATTAGCTGGGTCGCCCAGGAGGCTGAAGCCCAGAGCAAGAGAGATCAACAGTGCTACCCTACTCTGAGAATCACTGGCAGAGTCCACTTTGGAAGAGTGAAGAAGTGAGAGTCCAATATCCACAGACAATGGCAGCAGCAATCAAGAACCCATTCAAGAAGAATCGAACTAGCATCTGCTGCTGCTTCCTTCTTCTTCCAAAGTTTATTCCATCCAAGCCATCATCCTATTGGATGGTGCTGCCCACACTTCGGGAGGGTCTCCATTTCAGTTGGTTGTCCCACATGCCAATCATTCCTAGACACATCCTCATTGACATACCCATAATCTTCTTAATCCTTGATCTCTTAATTCAATCAAGTTGACAATTCAAATTAACCATTACAAGGGGCTCTAAATATTAGAATTTTTTATTTGATAGAAGAGAGATGTGGCATTAATAGAGCTTAGAAAGTCCTCAAGAGTCATAAAATGAAAAGTTTTTAATATCACCCACATAAATGAAGTAGCTTTTTAATCAATGAGAAATCAGATTACGAGTGATGAAAAATTAGGGAACAGATTAGAAGCTGAGGTCCTGAAGTCAGCAGTTATAGCTACTGTAAACCCAGCATGCCCAGCCAGGTGACCACTGTGGGGGCTTTCTCGCCTGGAAGAGGGTTTGAGTGTGGGTGTGTGTCCACCTGCCAAGAGGGAGTCTTTGCAATACCTGTTCCCCTGACAACAGAGACAACAAGAATGAAATCCCCTCCTAGGGTCATGATCTCTCTGCTGTGACCCTTCGCTTACACCTATAAATGTCAAGGAACCAGCTATGGTCATCAGGGGACAGAAACCCAGAAATCCCTGCAAACAGAGCTAAGAATTTTACTAGTTCTTTTCTCTAGTTCAGTAGTTTTCAACTCTGGCTGCACCTTAGACGTGACCTGGGAAGATTTTTAGAATGCCAACGTCCAAGCCCTCTCATCCTCAGGTGATTCTAATTTATTGATCTGAGGGTAGAATTGAGAATCTGTAATTTTTAAGGTGATTTCAATTTGAATCAATATTTTTAAAGGCTGCTTAAGTACCTCGAATGCACAATCTGACCTCTTTGCAGGGTGGAAAAATCCCAGAGGGGAACCCAGTAGAAAGATACCTGTGTTGTTCTGTCCGATGACCAATGACACTGGGGCTGGCTGGCTGCTAAGGACGACTCTGAGGGGCTGGAATGTGACCAGGCAATGTCAAGATCCATCAAAGGCACCTGGCCACTTGGGAATGGCATCGGAGACTGCTGATCCTGAGGCTTTGAGAGGGAGAGGATGGCGGTTACAAAGCTCGGAACACGAGCCCTGTTTGCCCCTCAGCCAATAATTAGGCCTGAATGACCACATCACTTGATATCTACCTCTAAGTTCAGTGAGAGTGAATAGATCTCTTGGCTTGATTTCTTTCCCCCAAAGCAAATGCTTCACTAATCTCCATTTTCCTCCTCCGTTGAGAGCCTGTGGTCCAGCTTGTTTGAGCCACTTTATGAAAACAAGCCCCTCTGTGGGTATCATGGAATAAAGCCATTTCCCTGAGAAACGGCATTTCGTGTTCAACCCTGCCGGCAGAGCTTACTCAACTGGCAAAGACAAAAAGCCGTGCTTTTCAAAGTAGGGAAAACTACCCATTATCCATTAGAGAGGTGCTGGTGGAGGACACAGCGTCAGCCTTCAGGCAGAGCAAGTGCATTGGAGGCTCACTTTTTAAATGGAAAACATTCTTTTCTTCCTTGCTGCTCACAGCAATTAGTTCATGGTCTGATGCCACAGAACAAGACCTTTGAAAATGATACCGTCCTGGGAGTAGGAGATGGGGAAAGACGGATGATCCCACGCCAAGGACGAGGAGTATATTAAACACCTTGGTTTGATCGTTACCCAGCAGGTATGGAAACTTCACACTGTTCCCATAAATATGTAGAGTTATTATGTGTCAGTTAAAAACAAAACTTTTTTAAAAGAATGGGAACAGTTTCCATTCCCCTTGGCCCAACTGAATCTCATTCACGTGTCCAATCCCACAATTCTCTTCCTGAATTCTCTCTCCAGCTGAGAACTTTCGGGATTTCGTTCCTTAAAAGCAGGGCTCTCTGTCTGGAAGCCTCAGTCCCACTTGCTAGGGCATCTCGGCAGCCTCAGTGCCAGCCCTTCCTCTTCTGCTGCCAGTTTATTGGCTCCTGCAGAACCAGACAGAGGCAGGGGTGTGAGAGGGGCTGTGCTTCAAGAGGAAACACTGACCCTAAGGCAAACGAACCTTTTCTGCACCCATTTTCTGCAGACATCTCAATATTAAAAAATGCTTGGGGTGAGTTGATTGAGGAGGCCCATGTCTGTAATCCCAGGAACTCAGGAGATGGAGGCAAGAAGATCTCAAGTTCAAAGCCAACCTGGGCAACGTGGTGAGACCCTGTCTCAGAATAAAATAAAAAGAGTGGTCTAGTGCTTGCCTCTCATGGGTTCAGTCCCCACTACCGGGGGGAAATGCTTAGGGTGGGAGTTGGAGAATTGGAGGAGGATGAACAGGTTATGCAAGGATCTTGTGCTGCTGCTTATGAATAGCACAGAAGTCCACAGCTGTCTGCTTCTGAACTTCTGACTGTCGAAGACACATTAAAAATTGCTTCGCCAATCTTGCATTGGCTTTTAATGAACTAAACTATTTAAACACTCAGAATTTGTCTTCAATGTTTAACAGGTCAGCTATGGCCCCAGCCTGCCAGAACGGACATTGGGAAGACAAAAAGGAGTTGGGGAGAACAGGGTACCTCTTCTGAACCTTGAGGTGGCTCTGGCTTTGTGAAAGGGTCTTGGAAGTAAAGGACTCACCTAGGATAAGTGACAACAGTCTTAACACACTGCAGGGCCTTGGATTTTATAGCATCCAATAAAAATAATGAGATTTTACATATACACGTAAACAATGTCTTAGAAGGAATTGGCTCATGCAAATGGAGGCCAATAAGTCTCAAGATCTGCAGGTTGAAGCGGCCAGCCGAAGACCCAGGAGAGCCAACGTGCAGTTTTAGTGTGAGTCTGGAGGCCTGAGAACCAGGAAGCAGATGCTGTAGATTCTAGTCTTGAGGCTGTTGGGCTTGAGATTCCCCAAGAACTGATGCTTCAGATTAAGTCTAAAGGCAGGAAAAGAGTCAGTGCCCCTATTTCAATTAGTCAAGCAGGAGAATTTCTTCTTTCTTGGAGGAAGTCAGACCTTTGTTTCTCTTCAGGCCTTCAACAAATTGGATGAGACCTGCTCACATTATGGAGGGTAATCTGCTCTAAACTGTACTCATTCTACCAATTTAAGTGTTATTTTTTAAAAAAAAAAACAAATCCTCACAGTAACACCAAGAATAATGTTTGACCAAGCACCTGGGCACCCCATGGCCCAGTCAAGTTGATTCATAGAACTAACCTCACAATAAGATAAGAGGCAGCCCTACTGCGGGAAAAAGCACATCATTTCTGGAGCCTGACAGCCCAAGGTCAAACTCCAGCTCTTCTACTTACTCATTGTGTGATCTGTAGGATACTCAGTCTCCTTGGGATTGCCTCCATTGCCTCTTCAGTAAAATGAAGGTAACAAAAGATTCAGCTCAGGACACAGAGCAGGCACCAAAGTATTAGTTGTTTTAGGTGCAAAAAGTGCTTTTTTAAAGAATCAAACTTTCTTTTTTTTTTTTTTTTTTTTTGATGGTACTAGAGATTGAACCCAGGGCCATTCTACTTCTGATCTATATTCCCAGCCTTTAAATTTTTTTTTTTTTAAGACAGAGTATCACTAAGTTTCCAAGTACGAACTTGTGATCCTCCTGCCTCAGCCTCCTGAGTAGATGGGATTATAGCTGTGCACCAACACAACTGGCTATCCTTTACTTTTAGTGTACATTATTATTTTAGACAGGAAGGGATGGTTGAAAACATAGAAGAAAAAGGGAGGCATAAATCTCAAAAAGAAAAAAGAAAAATAATGGGCCAGAGAGTGATGCTCATTAACACACCCTTACTCTCAAGTTAGGTAGCCAGGGTCTGTGGGTCCTGGAGAGATCTCAGTTCCACCACACTGTGTGGCCAGCACCTCTAACTGAAACTCCTCCTTCATTTCCCAGAAGACTGTGGACCCACGTGGACCCTGGAGCTCAATGGTGGGATGGCTGTGCCTTTTCTAGTATATGGGCATATTTCACATTATATGCATGAATGTTGGATGGTAGTGATATTTGGGGGAATGATACCATCATCTAGCAAAAAAAGCTAAATATTTCCCACCTAGAAGTTAAATCTGAAAACCTCTCCCATAGTTGACTTGGGTTTTCAAGGCACAGTAATAGCTTTGGTCTAGATAAGACTGGAGCAACCTGACACCTCATTCAGCATGGCTCCCTCTTCCAGTTACAGCCTACGGGTGGTGTTTACAGTGTCCTTCTGGCAACTACAATGGACCCAAATAACAACATAATGGGTAGAGAAAGCCGAGATGGTACAATAATAAGAAATGCAGAGGCTGGTCTGGCCAGATGACACTACTGGGGGGCCAGCATAATGGCTCTCACAGAGTGTGAGATATTTGGGGTTTGGCAAACCCTAAGCAGCTGGCTGCCAAGTCCTGCTGCCCCTTCTCCCCCTGGTGTATTTCAAAGGAAATTAAATCCACATGTTTCTGATTTGCTGACACTTCAAGCTCATCCAA